AAAGACGCAGACATGGAGAGGCAGTAGAAGATCTACTCATGGGGTGCATCGTCTCTACTGCACAGGGGGGTGTAAGAGATGTAGCAGAAGAGGACCTGGATGAGGACTTGGTAATAGCTCTCCCCCATGGTCTGGGGTGTCTGTACACCCGAACGCGGCGGCGGAGGGACGAGGGCCTTCCCCTCGATTTGTTGGCCCTCTCTGTGCTGCTTGCCACTGGAGTGCTCTGCGGCTTGGGCTCTGTCTCGGAGCTGTCTCTTCTTGGGCGTCTCCTCGTGCGGCTGCAGGAGTGGGCTGCTGCGCTGCGCTTCCTGACAGAGACACTTCCGCAGCTGCGTAGCGGGAACAACGGCGGCGCACCAGCTGCAAGTGAGCCGTTGCCGAGTGTCTCCATCGGGGCGCTGCAGCTGCTGCTGACGGAAGCGAGGCCTTGCCCCCGCATCCGCGTCCCCTGCAGCTTAGCAGCTGAGAGGCTGCTGCTGAAAGGGCAGCAACTGCAGCAGCAGATGATCGTCGCGCTGGTCCAGGCAGAGCGGGATGCAGCAGAGCAGCTGAAGCAGCACGAAGCGTTGCATCAGGCGCGGAAGCACCGCGAGCAGATTCTCCTGCTGCAGCCGCAGCAACAGCTTCACCTGGGAGATGCTGTTGGGCAGGACCATCGATTCAGGGAAGAGCTGCAGCAGGCGGAGGCAGGTGTGGCAGCGGCAGAGGCAGCGCATGCAGCAGCCGAAGCAGCAGTTGCAAGGAGCAACCAGCAACTGCTTGATCTGGAGCAGCAGCTGCACAGCAGCGGCATAGGCGGGCTCCAGTATGAGCCTTTGTTCCACGAGCTCGTTGCTGCGTGTGCCTGGCAGCGGGAGGCCGAGGCCCTTGCAGCTTGTATTGAAATGGAGTCTGATGCATCACGCCAGCAACAGCAGCAAGCTGGGCTAGTGAGCAACCAGAAGCCACTGCCCCCAGCTTATCGCAATACTGCTCACTTGTGGCGGATGGTCCAGGTGTACGAACCGTTGCGTCACAAGTGCAACGCCC